TCTGTAACGCACTTCTCCGGGTTGCCTGCTCTACACGCGAGCCTGCAGCCATAAGGAAAGCGCATTACTTCCTATAGCTCTACGATATCGCAATTAGTGCCAGTCACGCGCGGGCCCCCCGAGAGCGTGCTATAATTGTTTGTCCCCCGTCTACACCGCCCCCCCGAAGCGATGTGGCGTATTAAATACTGCTGAAATTCCGCGCCCTGGGGCGCAATCGTCACTCTTCGCTCCAATACGTCAACACGTTGCTCTATCACTCGTCCAGCAATGCTGATATGATTGAAGCCTTGATCTGTTCCTCGTCTTCCTCTCTCGTTTATCTCGTTCTCGCTTCGCTTTTCAATTTGGCAACGTCATGCGGCCCAGCAGAGTACACGAAACTGCACGAGGCGCCCGTAATCGCTCAGTTGCGAAGAAAGACGTAGTTAAACGATTTGCGCCCACGAAAAAAGAACTCTGCTTCACAGATGCTCAGTGGAGAAAGTTGGAGAAAAACTGGCCGTTAACTCCGATATGTACATCGTTCTGCTGGTGATACTAATTCCCGCATTGGTATACCCACCTGTCATGAATACAACGCACATATATAATATATAATATAATATAATATAGTAGAGAGAGAGAGGAGCAGAGAGCGGAAGAGAGGAAAGAGAGGGGAGGGCGGCGAGGGGAGAGAGGGGAGAGGGAGAGGGGGGGAGAGAGGCGATTGCTCTCGGAGAGACGGGAGGAGACGAGAGAGAGAGAGAGAGAGGAGAGAGACAGACAGAGAGGAGGAGAGAAGAGAGAAGGCGAGCAGAGAGAGAGAAGAGAGAGAGGAGAGAAGGACAGCAGAAGAAGGAGAGCGAAGAGACGAGATGAGACAGAGAGACGAGAAGAGAGTAGAAGAGCAGAGAAGAGAGATCGAGAGAGAGAGAGAGAGAAGAGGAGAGAGAGAGAGAGGGAGAGAGAGGAGAGATGAGAGAGAAGAGAGAGAGAGAGAGAGAGAAAGGTGTGGTATCCTTTGTTGTACTAACGGGCCCTGTGATATGCATCAATGTTTATAATACTACAATTAACTGCTGTATATGTACGATTTTTTTTGGACTTTCATATGCTGCTCGCGATTTTATCCTACTGCGTTGAAAGACAATGCCAAATTGAAGCGGGCGCTAAAATATTGCATAATTATAATATTCATGTTTATAAATGCATAATCATATTGCATAATTCAACATCATAAATAAGATGTTTCCATATTCGCCTTTGGTTTTATGTTAGCGGAGTGTTACAGAACACAGAAACCTACAACACACCGAGAGAGACGAGAGAGGGAGAGAGGGGGGGGCGAGGGGTTGAGAGAGACGGGCGAGAAGAGAGAGAGGAAAGAGGGAGAGGCAGAGAGAGAGGGAAAAAATGGGAGAGCGAGAGAGAGACAGCACGATTGATGCATTGTGTGTGTTCGTGTATGTGTGTGTGTGGTGTGTGTGCCGGTGCGTGTGTATCGTGTAGTGGCGCGCGCTGCGCAGCGCAGGTGTGTGTGTGTGTGTGTGTGTGTGTGTGTGTGTGTGTGTGTGTGTGTGTGTGTGTGTGTGAGTGCGTTGCGTGGGTGCGTGCGTGCGGTGTGCGATGCAATGAATGCGAGAATAAGCTCAAAAGAATGATGACAAATATACGTGTGTTTGTGGAAAAGACGAGACGACACACAACCCGAGAAATGATAGAGAAGAGTGTGAGCGCGAATGAGTGAGAGGCGAGTAATAGAACGAATGAGAGAAAGAGATAGGGAGAGTGGGTGGGAGAGGAGCTAGAACCTGAGAAAGAAGACAAAAAAATCTGGATTAGAGAACGAGACAGACGGATATACGGGAAGGAAGATAGAAACATTCAACCCACTAAGCATTTGCGACATTGGAGCCATATATAGAACTAGTGTTTGAGCATCACCTTCAACCGCCTTTGAATATGATCAACGCATCAAACGACTTTTGGAACCATTATTAAGCGTTTGCGACGTCTCTGCGCACCACTTGTATCAAAAAGTCAGCTGCTGGCCTTAAAAGCGGGTGATATTCTACACACGATACACACGCGTCCGAGTGAGTCACAGGGCGCGTAGTAATACGCATGTGTATTAACACGAGGGGTTTCTAGGCGCGCGGAGTGAGCTCACATACCACACATTCGCGTTCCAAAGTCGTGTTTACTGTCGCATGAGACTATGTTGACCTAACAGAACTATATGTAAACTATAATACTCGCTCGCACAACACCACACACACACACACTCACACAACCAACACTCCCACCACACACAACACCACACCACACACACAACACACCACACACACACACACAACAACACCACATACACACACACACACACACACGTCTACATAAAACCAATAAACATCCTGTTTACACGCTGTATACTATGCGGGCGTCAATATTGGATTAACTGGGACTCGCTGGTTGCCTGTATATGGGCAAAGCTCGCCGCTACTTTATTTATGGGACGGCGAAACCGGGTCAAGGTCCATGTTTACGCTACATGACGTCATATCCGACTAATCCAGGGTCCCAAAAATACCCGTGTGCGTGGGGACTTGGACCTTTTTTTCACTAGGAAATATGTAAGAACTGATTGTGCAGTCACACCTCTATATGCCGAGCTGTATGCCGATCAGCCCTTTGGACCTTTTGGTCGCGCCCTCGTTTTACCGTCTCCCGCTTAGATGGGCTCCTTGAACAATTATATCACAATGTCGGAAGACATCGTGAGAGCATGTCGCGGACGATCGAATAACATTACGAACTAATTACGCATTAATTACGCATTAATTACGCATTAATTACGCATTAATTACGCATTAATTACGCATCTTCACGAGAATGTAATAATACTGTTAATTGTTCAGTTCTCGTGGGACATAGCTGTCCTTGTATGTGAGGAGTGTCTGTGGCAGTGGCGCCCGCAGATAAAAGCACTGGAAGCACAGTGCTTCCAGTAAATTTTGGGTTAAACAGTTTTGTTCCTACATTTTGTTCTTAAATCTCTCTCGCAAGACTCACCAGATTGCATCTCCAGACGTCTACCATTCAAAATTTTCAGGGGGGCATGCCCCCAGACCCCCCTAGCATGCAACGCGCCTACGGCGCTTGCTTTTTATTATCACTGAGGATTTTATCCTTCTGTGCTTCTACTTTCTTAAGACCTGTGGGCGCCAGTGGTCTGTGGTGCCGTGAATCGTTCCGGCTTCAATCTTTTGAATAGTTACTCGTCGTTTCCGCCATTATCCCGATATAAACATAACAAGGAATTAATTTATAGTAAATTAATAATATATGCGTCGCTTACAAACTTATATATATGCACACGGCTCAGACAGAAAAACAAACCAGACAACCACGCGCACACTCTCGGCGCGAAAATTCGTTTAGTATACTAAAAATATAACGGAAATGAATAGACGTGTGACATATCAGCGTTATTTTTTTGCTACAGAGGGATGGGTCTGTGATATAATCTGGAGCAGACTATTATATTAACGTTTTAAATATTTATATTAACGTTTATATTCTTGGTCGGTTTAACCTTTTTCCCCATGTTTTCCCAACAGGTGGCGCTGGCGTGTTTTCCATTTATATGGTACTAGGCTACTGGGCGCAACTTGTATGTAATTTCATCGGATTTGTCTACCCGTCATACAGATCGTAAGTTAACCTGTTAGTTTCTATTAACCTCTTCACCTATTCTGATATGTTTTAGTACGAAATTCTACCAGTACTGTATTATTATATTATATTATTTCAGTTTTATATTCAACCATACGAATGAGCGAATGAATCGTATAAAATGGTTTAAATTTAATAGTGGAACTTTGCGCGCATGAGTTTCTGATGATTTTCTGATTAAACAGCGCCACCTCGTGGCACACAGTGCCTCCTGGTGGCTAAACGGTATTACACGATGCCACTCAGACGTTTAGCATTATTCTCAATTTCCGTTCTGCTTTAGCCATTTTCTGCAATTAAAGTGCGATAATTCAAATTTAATTTATCACGATTAACAATCTCGCCAAATTAGACCTGAAAAATCATTTCGTATCCTCGCAAAAATATGCATTGTCAATACCTATATAAGTTGCCTGTAAGAAAGGGAGGTGCACTTTAACCGTTGGTTGCATGGATTGCAGAGTGAAGGCCATAGAGAGCAGTGATAAGGATGACGATACGAAGTGGCTCACCTACTGGGTTGTCTTCGCTTACTTCAGCGTCATCGAATTCTTCGTCGATATCGTTCTATCCTGGTTCCCCGTCTACTGGCTCGTGAAGGTACATACATACCTTGGTTTCACCACGTATCGAACACGTCTGATGATGATTATGCTGTAGGGTATTTGTATGGAAGTAAACTAGGTGCGGGGAATCAGGGAATAAGTATCTAGCGACCCAGCTATTCAAGGATTCAAGTAAGTCGGGGAATCGCGGGGAACAAGTATTTATTGTTTGTGAGTTATCCAGGATTCGAGTAAGTCGACACGTACACATATAACAGTAACTTCATCGAAGTAACAGCCGAACGTTGCCGAACGTTGCCGAACGTTGCCGAACGTTGCCGAACGTTGCCGAACGTTGCCGAACGTTTGCCTAACGTTGTCGAACGTTGCCGAACGTTGCCGAACGTTGCCGAACGTTGCCGAACGTTGCCGAACGTTGCCGAACGTTGCCGAACGTTGTCGAACGTTGCCGAACGTTGCCGAACGTTGCCGAACGTTGCCGAGACTCATCACCTCAATCAGCGGGGATATATAATTGGGACAGGTCGGGGTAGCAATTAATTACCTGCCGTGATAATTACCACATCTCGTTGTTCATGTGAGTTTTTGAGGATGAGCACTAGTTACACATCGACACCCCCCTCCCCGTACAATGATGATGGTGGTGGTGATGATGATGATGACGACGATGATAATGGTGGTGGTGGTGATGATGATGATGATGACGACAATGATGATGATGATGATGATGACGATGATGATGATGATGATGATGGTGGTGGCGGTGATGATGATGATGACGACGACGATGATGATGATGACGATAATGATGATGATGACGATGACGACGAAGACAATGATGATGATGGTGGTGGTGGTGGTGATGATGATGATGATGACGATGATGATGATGATGACGATTTGACAACGAAGTGACGATTGATGATGATGGTGTGGTCGGTGGTGGCTTGATGATGATGATGAATGATGATTGACGACGATAATGATGCATGGATGATGATGATGATGATATGATGCATGATGATGATGACGGCAGACGACGATGATGATGATGATGACGATGGACGGACGAAGACGAAGTGATGATACCTTTCTGGTTATTCTACAATGATTATATATGCTTTATATAACCAACACTTCGCGTTGAATATGCGCTAGATTTTTGGTTGTTTAGGCATTATGATACATTGGATCAAGGGTTGATTAATCACCCAAACCAACAAAAATCAACAACTAACACGCATTTATATATACGCCAATGCCTAACACAACATCCGTCCCATCTAGCAACACATAAACTGAAACATAATCGATCTATCATTTGCGGCCGATGTCTTGTGACTCACGCCTTGATGAACGTCATTTACACTCGCAGCGTCGCGCCTTTCTCGTCTGGTGATGGCGCCATCTCAAACGTAACGGCGCGCCAGGGGATCTACGAAAACGTCCATCAAGCCATTCATCAAGTCGCGAGCACAGAAGAGGGCATCGATTCCACGATCGATGAGATCAAAGAAGCGCCGAGGACACTCTCAGCAGCGGTAAGCATTCCGGCAGTAGCCAGTGTATGATTTCCACGCGAAATTCGACGATAGATGGCAGCACGATATCAAGGTTTCGCGATCAGGTGTATGCGTGTGTGCGTGCGTGCGTACGTACATGCAGGGGCGGATTCAGACCGTATTTGCCGTATTGGGAAATACGGTCTAGATTTCAAAGTGCTCTTCGAGATTTTGCGCTAAAAAATACAGAAAACAATTTGATGGAATTTGGATATATTCTTTATTTGTTTTCTTTTTCTTCTGATTCATTGACAGGACTTGAAGGAAATCAAAATTTTACGTGGTAACAAAACTAGCTTTGATATCTGAAAAAGAAGGGAAGTGCTTGAATCATTCTGCATTAATTGCTGGTATGCAAAGCGCAGGCAAAATGCAGAAATAAAATTCCATATGGTTTTTAGCTATTGCTGCTTGACTAAATGTGTGCTCAAATGGTGCTCATTTTTGTGCCCAGGGACCCTTGAAATTTTGAAATTTCCTGGGGGAGGCCTCCCAAACCCCCCGACATGTGCTTCCGCGCCTGACAGCGCCCACTATGGGGTGGTGTGCCCTTTTTGGGGGATGTGCCCTTAAAATCTGGAAAAATACTGCCTAGCTTCAGCCCTGGATCCGCCCCTGACATGTATGCGTGTGCGCGCGTGTGCGTGTACGCGCACGTGTGCGTGTTTTTGCGTGTACGTATTCGGGCGTGCGTGCGTGCGTTCGAGCGACCGCGCGCGTGCGTGCGTGTGTGTGTGCGTGTAGCAAATGCTTGAGCAATTTTCATGCCTTTACGATTTTTGACGCTAAGTAATAATTGCCGTGTATTTTCAGCCGCCGAGAAGATGAGCGACGTTGCGAAGGAAGTGAAGAACGACTGAACAAACCCAACAGACGCGCCGCCGCGATTCCTAACGTTCTTCTGTTTTTTGTAATTGCTGTTGATGTTGAACATCTACAATCGCCACCGCAAGAGGGCGCTTTATATACGCGACCAGAAAGCCACGGTACGCATGTACTGGTCTCGGTGTGTTTCTGGTGCGACTGTACGGCGTTGAGTAAATACATGTAGGCAGCCACATCGGTGTATGAGTAGTATATCACGATAGGAGCAATATCTGGAATATATCCACAATATAATAAAATTACCAATATATAATAACTAACCGATAGTCACTGATTTCATTTGATTTTATATTTTGATATTGCACTCGTCTTTATTAATTAAGCTCATATCGTGGACGATTTATACGCTATATATATATATCAGGAGTAGATAAAGGGAACTAGGGGGTTCCCTTTATCTACTCCTGATATATATGTAAACTGTTACAGAGATTACAAGCATAAATACCTTAGTAGTACTTCAGTTCAGTGTAATATAAACTATACAGTCATATATTTATTATATATATTATGTTGTATGTGTGGTGTGTGTGTGTGTCGTGTGTTTGTAGTGTGTTGTGTGCGTGTTGTGTGTGCGTGTGTGTGTGTGTGTGTGTGAATGTGTTGTGTGTGTGTGTGCGTGCGTGCGGTGTGCTGCGCGCCTTTTGTGTGTGTGTGTGCGTGCTCGCGTGTGTGTGCGGGTGTGTCGTGTGGCTGTTTGTGTGTGTCGCGTGCGTGCGTGTGGTGTGTGTGTGTGTGGTGTGGGTGTGTGGTGTGTTGTGTGTGCGCCGCGCCGTGTGTGTGCGTTGTGCGTGTGCGTTGTGGTGTTGCGTGTGCGTGTGTGGTGTTGTTGTTGTGTGTGTGTGTGCGTGTGTGTGTGTGCCTGCCGCGCGCGGCGCGCCCGCGCGCGTGGTGTGGTAGTGTGTGTGTGTGTTGTGTGTGTGTGTGTGTGTGTGTGTGTTGTTTGTTTGTGTGTGTGTGGTTTGTGTGTGTGTGTGTGTGCGTGTGTGTGTGTGTGTGTGTGTGTGTGTGTGTGTGCGTGTTGCGTGTGTCGTGTGTGTTTCGTGTGTGTGTGTGTGTGTGTGTGTGTGTGATGTGTGTGTGTGTGTGTGTGTGTGTGTGTGTGTGTGTGACAAGAATGCGTGAACATATTAATGTTTTACGTATGATCGCCTATAATGTAAGTCAACCCGATGTGATGAGGGTCGTAGTCTGAGCAGAGATGCCTATAAAGGTGAAATAATATTTCATTATCATCTAACTGAGTTAGCACGATGGATATTCAAAAAAAAAAACAGCAATAATTATTAAAGCGCGAGATTAAACTTTCATTTTCATAACAAAATATTTATAACTAGTTTTTCAATTCGCTTATACTGGTCATGCGAAAACACAGATTTTCCCTATGCCTCAGCCAGTGTAGTCAAACTAGGGAGAACTGGGTGCTATACAATTATTTAAATGAGACATTAGGGCAATCCTTTAAATGTGTATATACTACTTTTTATCAAACTACTCGTGAGTACGTGTAATTATCAAACTACTCGTCCTTTAAATGTATAATTTCAATAAAGCGATGATTCGTCTGACTGCGCCTGTACTGCGCATGCGTGAACAGAGAGGATTGCAGGAGTAGAGATGTCACTGTTCACACATTCTCGATAACATTACTGCAGAGCAATGCACGAGCTGGCATCTGCTAATTCACACGCTAATGATACACACACATATATATCTATATATATATATTGCAGTTGTATTACTATCGAGAATATTTTGTCATTGATGACATAAACTACCAAGATCAATTTGTTTTTTGTTGGCTAATCCAAGACGGCTCATTGTGCGCTTCCAAACAAATACCTTCCATGGGAACGAAATCTAAAACACATCTGGCAACTCCTGATAAACTCTCAGAGGGTCGGCGTAAATTAACACGTAGGGATATATATATATAT